TGTGTGTGTGTGTGTGTGTGTGTGTGTGTGTGTGTGTGTGTGTGTAGGCTACATCCAGTTAATGCTTGTGTGTGTGCGTGTGTGTGTGCGTGTGTGTGTGTGTGTGCGTGTATCCAGTTCCGTCTGTGTCTGTGCGTGTGCACATATACAGTTAATGTGAGAAGGTGACCCTCACTGTCTTCTTCCTTTGTAAACATCTAACTCTCATCAATTCTTGGCATAGGAATTAAGCTGCAAGAAGATAAATTAGTAATAGCATAGGAAAAATGAAATGGATATTTGAAAAAGCAGATATAGAAAGGTTGCTCAGACATTCTAGGTTTTTATAGTCAAGGTAAGAAACCTGAAATTAGAACAAATGATGGTGAATCATTTCTGTGATATATTTCTTAGGTCATCAGACATGCTATCTTGTCTGTAGTACACAAACACACACACACAAAATGTAGGGGAGATTAAAAGTGAAAAAAAAATAGGGCACAATAATTTAGCAAGGGTCTATTAAGATACAAGAGAGAATATTTGACCCCAAAAATGCTAAGAAAAAAATACATCATATTTTTGGTTAATTCACCTAATTTGCTCAGAGGAAACTTCAGTGGGATACTAAATTTGAAATGCAATGAAAACCTAAGAACTAAGCCCAAAAAGCTTCTTCATAGCCTAAACTGATGTCAAGAGCCAGGCCCTGAAGTTTGTGTGCCTGAGCTGCAGTAAGCCTCCGCCCATTGACTCTGAATGCTTTGGCTGTCTGGTTTAGCATTCCACAGCAGGTTGAAAGGCAGACATGTAGACACGTCGTTTTGGTGGGGCAGGATTGAGGAGCTCACGCACAGGGCGGCATAAGCCCTGGGGTCAGGGAAACATTCATCTCAGCTAAGTTAAAATTATTCCCACAGATGGTTTTTAACTTCGCCTGCCTTCCCTCGCCTCTTTTCCTGCCTTTGAAAACTAGATGTACCTAAGTTGAAGCTCTGTGCTCCATACTTGCTAGCTGGGTGGCCTGAAGGTGCTTTCTCTTAGCCTTAGTTTCCGTATTTGTAAAAGGAGAATCATAATACCACCCTACTTCATCTAGTTGTAAAGATCAACTAGATGAAATGCCTTTAAATGTGTGCATTTAAAAAATGTAACATAGCATTTGGTACATAGAAGCACTTTATGAATATTAGTGTTGTTATTACATGTGGAATTTTTCTTAGCCTGTTTTTGAAGCCTGCATACTAATTTTTTCAAATTCTTATCTATCATCAACTCTCTCTTTTTTTTAATTTTATTTTATGTGACTTCCTTATCAAATCTTAGTTGCTAGCTCATTGCTGATCTTAGTTAAGATATTATAGGTGCAAAAGGGACCTAAGAGATCAGTTAGCCAACATCTCATTGAGAGTCACACAGGGTTAAAAGAAAAAATTGCTGACAATTGAACTCCAATATGGTTGCAAATACTGTAATTTTTCTGTTGCAGTTGAACTAAACAAAATCCCTCGGCCATTTACCATGAGCCAGGAGTTGTTGAGGCCCAAGTAGACAGAAGCATTGCAGTACACAGGGGCTGCCTCCCAGGAACACATCTAGTTATAGATTACCTGAAAAATAAAATCATGCCCTACAAAATTAAATAAGGCTCTGTCTTATAGAGAGAGAACTACATGAAAGGCAATAAAGAGTGTTTCGAACAAGAACTCAAGCTGGAATGCCTGGATTCAAATCTTAATCCCGCCACTTACTAGCTTTGGTGGCCTTAGACAAGATTTGTTCATTTCTCTTTGCCTGGGTTTCTTATGGGGACAATAATAATATGGTAGCTGTGAGATCTGATGAGTTAATAAATATGAAGAACTTAGAATACTGCCTGGCACATCTGCATTAGCCAGTCCTGTATGTATAAAGATAATGTAGTAAGTGATTGATAAGGGCCGTACACTTTTAATTGTCTATCAAATAATGATGGTAAATACATGCTGTTACATCCATATTGGAATGAAAATACTCGAATGGTATGCTTTTTGAACTTGCCAAGTTTGAGGTGTAATATTTAAATGTTAAACAAAACTAAACTAATCATATATGTGAAGATGAAAACTGTCAAACTAGTTCTTTAACAAAATCCAGTCTGCAAAATCCTTTTTTAACACTACTTGACACTATTTAATAGACTGTAATTGACATTATTGAATCTTCTGCACTATCTAGTTGATATCATTTAATAGACACTATATAAAATATATATACCATAAAAATTTATAGGGCAGATTCTCAAGTAGCATGATACATAATATTAAAACCTTAATTGTTGACTACTACTATGGCTATTTTAGATTATTTTTTTAAACAAGAAAGGAGATCTTTTTTCTTTGCAATCAACTGGGATATCATGGTAAAAGGAAACTTATAGAACAAGGTTCCTTCTTTCCTCCATTTATTTATTCATTCTTTCAGTCATTCAGTCAACAGATATTTATCACATACGTACTGTGTGCCAAGCACTATACCAGGTGGAAGGGTGTACAGGAAGTGATAAAACAGACATAGTCACAGCCCTCTTGAAAAAAGCCCATGCCAGAGGTAAGTTGAAAACTCAGATAATCACCAGAAACCTGTGAGGCCAGCATTTATGACAATAGGTGTAACAGAAAATGCACCAA